TACTAACTACTACTTACTACTTACTACTACATAGTTATATATATATATATATATATATATATATATATATATATACGCACGCGCGCGCACGCACACACACACGCACGTACGCACGCACGCACGCACGCGCGCGCGCACACACACACACATATATATATATATATATATTTAATTAATTATTTTATTTATTTATTTATTTAACTGCAACATTTCACTATAATACTTTACTTTGCTCACTGCAACGGTAGTTACACAAAGAAACGTTATCATAGGTAAGAGATTAGCTGTGCGTGTATCTAGCCGTTTGTTAACGACTAGATACAACTTTCGACTTACGACTCTTACGACGACTACGATACTTACGACACTCGTATGATGGACAGCATTTGTCAGCCGGTTTGTTTGGGATCAACTGCTTGCTTTCACCGCAGAAAGGTGCTGAATCACATTGGCTCTCGTTGCAGATCTATGATTAGATGATACAACCATTTACATTTCATGAATACTATTTATCTGGCTTTCTTAATACAGACCCGTTACTTATGGAAAAAAAAGTTCAACGTATATTTAAATACGCGCACGACGACGAGCTAATGAAAACTTTTACATCACTCGTATATTTTGACTATATACGAATTAAAACTAGCTACCACGATTTCACTTTCTATTAGTTTCTAAACAATGACCGCACGTGCGCACATGACCGCAAACACTACACATATGCGCAAGCACACGCCCACGCAGACACGCATGCACACGCGCACCTACTCATGCACGCGCGCACGAACCAACGAAAACACGCACGCACTCACCCACAGATACACAACGCACGAACGCAGTACATATATATGACGTGAATGTTATTCTATTTATTTTATACGCTAAATTTAGCTTTTGACCTCAAGTTTTAGAAAGGTGGTTTCGCTTACCTTGGAGTAAGTTTCGCAGCAGTATCTGTCATCGATGATAATCTGCTCTCCCTCTTCAATCGTAGGTACCACCGACTCCCTGCATGTTGCCTCGTCGGGGCACACTGTACAGGGAAGCCATATATATACACACACACACACACACACACACACACACACACACACACACACACACACACACACACACACACACACACATATATATATATATATATGTATATAGTTAGGACGAAAGTAAAATAAACGCAATGGAAATGGTCAGACGGCTACCGCGGTATGTATCTTATGACAACAATAATAAGAAATGACAATATCTGATACAACCGCTCGAGGTTTAGCTAACTTGGAAGTGTTGCAATTTGGTTCTTTGCACTGGTAACTTCCAAAAAACTCTTAAGCCAAAGATGGCATAGAGATTGTCCACATGCCAGTTTCTTGCTCATATTTTTATATGTATGCGTATGACTACGAAATTCCATCCGTGACCAGTAATAAATCTTAATCATGAGGCTATAGGTCCCGTTTCTCTCATTATACAAAGTATTCACAATTACGTTTTAAAGGCAAGTGACATTTGCGTTTAGGCCGCTCGTCTTGCAGCCTGTAAGCTCACTGACTTAGCACCATCCATTAAACAAGGACACACATGCACACGTAAGAACACACGCGCACGTATATACGCAAGTGTGGACATGCTATAATTACATGAGACGATTTTACTGACCACAGACGACAGATGTGCAGCATTGATTCAGAGCAACCACGCTTTGAATCTGGTCGAACGGGCAGATAGGTAAGACCTCTGGTGGACACTTCCGATCATCGCACTCTGAAATAAGCAAACATAACACTTTTCATATACCGCATACGGATATAAGCAAGTCATAATTATTAGCCTAAAAAACACCAATTGGAGGCTTGTCGGGAACTTTCCACGGGAATATCTGTAACTCACCGCAGTTGTATTCAGCGCAGCACTTGCCCGGCAGCTCGTACTTGTTCAGTCTTTCGCTATCGCTACATGACGGTGGAGGAGGACAGAACTCGTGGGTGCAGGCCTTGCCACTCTCTGTGCACATACACACAGTGCATTCATTCACTCGCCACTCGTCTCCAACCTAAGACAAGAAAGGCAAAACTCGTGCGTAAAATTGGTATAGTATCTATGCTCAGTTCACGGTAATTTCTACCACGTTACATATAGGGTGACATATTATAAAGCTGGAGACCTACCTTAGTTCCTAAGCCATTATTAAAGTCAGAGGCTGAGAAACTTTGCTATTTTGATTTCGCTTATAATAATTGCTTAAAATAATGAATGAAGGATGGCAAACACCTCGAGTCCGATTGCAATAATTAATATAATATTGTATGAACTCACAATATGTCCTTCGGAGTCGCACGGCTCTTCTGTTAAATAAAGAACGAAATAATTGATACACACACACAAACAAGTTGAAAATGCTTCAATATTTGCAAATAGGTAAATGCTATGAAAAACATAGTAATCCGCCCGGATTTATCGATATGAATACCCGTGAACAGTCACATTGTTTTGATATTAGCTCTATTCGATATCATTTGAACTAATGCCAGACTCAGTGCATTACTGACCACAACTTCCAATCTCCTTGCATTGGCCATCCACGTCAATAAGACCAGGTGGGCAGAAGCAACCGCTGACGGGTGGTGACTTGCAGATTTCAGGATTAAAGTGTTCATAGTTAGCGCAAGTCATCTCACAGACGGAGCCACACTCCTGGTATTGCAACTCGCCCTCGCAGTTAATCGCTACAAAATGATCAACAGACGCTCATACAACAAAACCACTAGGCTGTGCCAGGCTACATATGGTCAGGCGTGAGGTCAGGCGTATGGTCAGGCGTATGGTCAGGCGTGAGGTCAGGCGTATGGTCAGGCGTCAGGCGGGTTAGGCGTGATTCATAGCGGAACTACACATACATACATGTTATCAGGAGTTAATAATGACAAATTTGTCATTATTTGACAATTTTGTCATTATTATCTCCTGTTGGTATCTAGATATACTAGAGCGTTCAAGGTGCGAAACCTGCAAGGATTCGAAGAACGAATGAGGATATGCCACCCATGCGTTTTCGAACAATAAATTCCATATTCAATAAATAATAATACTATGACCCTATCAGCAAATTACTTCAATCGATAAACCTAATAATTAATGACTAGATAATAAATAATTTCACTCAACTATCAATAGGTAAATAAATCAATGATTTATAACAATACAAAGGCGCTACGGTAACTCACGGCAAATGTCATCCGTTCGCCAGTCAAGACAGATTCCACTCAGAGCACAGATGCCGGCGTAAATAGATAGTGCAGAACAGCTAGTACTGTTCAGCGCACTCGGGTCCTGCGTGCACTTCACGTCGATCAAGCATGACTCGTAATAGAGGTTCGGATCAACAATGGCGTGGCAGCGCCTGAAGTTCTCGTTCCAGATGGCATCGCACATCGTAGTTGGATTTCCGTAGTCACACTCTGGTGTCGGCTTCACCTGTCGTAACGATTCCAGCATTACAGGTAAAATTTCAGCATTAATTTCAGAATAATTAATTTCAGCATTTCAGAGTCACTGTTATGTGCTCAGCCGATGTGACATCGTCGAACTATCGTCGCAACAGTTGTGAAAGATTCAAGACGCGCACGAATTTTTATGATCTGGCGCTGTTTTGGGAGAGACTCTATACATAGAATAGCGTCAGATTGTAAAAGATTTCTAGGGTACAATTTATTGGTCCAGGTATATATGTGCTTATCGCGTCATAGTGAGACAAAGTGATCGCTCAGGTTTGCTGTAGGTATGTTGATTTAGGCAATTTCTCTTAATGTTATTGATTGCAGGAATGACTTGCATGAATAACGGCTGACTTTACTTCTATCCGCAGAGACAGACATGTGTGCCTTTTAGGGCAGTGATAGGGCAGTGCTTAGGCCTTCTTCAAACACATACGCTACATACCTCACAGTTCACTGTGGGGTCATTGGGATCCACTAGCCAGCTATAACCGAACTCATCTGAGTCAGTAGTGATTACGCCATCACTCGTCAACAAATCGTCCGATCGGTTGTGGTTGCATGGTCCTAAAGATCGATGGATTATTCACATCAGTATGACGCGTTCGATATTATCAGTACATCTAACACGTCATCATATTATCATATATATATGGGTGTGTACGTACACACACACACACACACACATATATATATATATATATATGTATATATATATATATATATGTATATATATATATATATATATATATATACGCACACACGCACACACGCACACACGTACGCACGCACCACGCACGCACGCACGCACGCACGCACGCACGCACGCACGCACGCACGCACACACACATGCACACATACACACATACATACAATGTGTTGAATAAATAAGTTATTTTTTAAATTATTGTATTGATGACACAGGATTTTATACTACCATCCATTTCATTGTACTAGAGACACGCACACGCGCGCGCACGCTGACACACACGCGCGCGCACACGCACACGCACACACACATACACGCACGCACGCACGCACGTACGCACGCACGCACGCACGCACGCACGCACGCACCTGTTGATTGGCTTAGATGGGAGTACTGGAGTTGTCATTGACTCACCACACAATCCCTCCGTCTTGTTGAAATAGATAGTAGATGGCACTTTCACTTGCACGCCGAAGTTCTCCTCAGTGTATCGAACGTCCAGTTCGATATCAGGAATTTCGATAATGTAGTGGATGCCAACATGTTTCACTGTTATGCCATACGCTGTGTGGGGAAGGTTACTCTCTAGCAGCTGCACCCCGTCGAATAATACCTGCAGACAAATAAGTTAATTGTTAAGTAGACCGATATCAAAAGGTATTGAACGTCAAGCAACATTTCGATATCATAAAAGCGTATAGCAATTCTTAATTCTAATTTCTAATATGCTAATTTTAAAGAAATGAAACTATTGATCTCACAGCATTCGTATTTTTTTCAGACGCGAATGTTTCCGATTCGTTACGTGGATTTATACCCCACTCACTTTTTTATTGTCTATATATTGTGTTAATTATAAGCCTGTTTCATTGCTAAGCCCTTGACCTGAGCCCTGACCCTGACTTGCCAGTCCTTGAATAGCTGTCAGTCACGGAACTCAACCAGGACCCGTTGTCAGAAAAATCACGAGTATTTATGGTATCTAGTCTAAAATGTCACAACTTTGGAGGCAAGATGTTATGAAAAAGTCATGACATTTTCGTGATGTGATAGTGCTGACTGATTATGATGCTTCTGACAACGTTCACCAGATGCTCACCAGAGGACCTCTGTATATCTCGGCGGTGTGACCTTGATAGTTGACAATGGTGCCGACAGTGCAGGTGGTTTCTGGCTGCTCCTCGCACTGCTCATTCACCGCCAACACTTCAAAGTCGAGATTCTCCGTGTCACGCGCAAGGACGTACGTGCAGTTGCCGTTGAAGAAGAAGTATGTGTTGTCAAACGAGTAGTAGTGAGGATCTCCGTATGCAATACAGATGCCTGAAACAGAGGCAATAATCAGCGCACTGCTCACTAGCATTACATGGCTGTATTCATACAGGTAAAACACGATGTTTGCGAAAAGGAAATTGTGAATAGTGGATATTATGAAAGTAACAACCGCGAAAATGTCAGCTCCAAGTATATCCGTATATAAGAGGAAGATATCAATTTAGTACTCCAGAAAGTTTGCAAGGTGTTATATTAAATATTCATACATTCCTTGTTGTAGATTATTTCACATTTATGGGTGCCTTACGTTGAAGAGTCATATATGAAGTGAGAGTCAATATCAAACCCTTATTTGATATTGCGACATAGTTCCTTTCATATCACCTTGAGTATTCATAGAATATCGGCTCTGAGTGCTATATTAATTACGGACTAATTCTCAACGTACAGTCAAGACACGTGTCTCGTGGGACGCAGGTGCTCCCCTTTCGGACAAGTCCGGGTTTGCAATAGCAACCAGGTACACAGCTCAGATCGCACACTATGTTTTCTTCATTCCAGTTATCGCACGTGCGTTCGCAGCCTGGGCCACAATCCGACCACACCTCGTTTGTTGGGCACTCAGTAGGTTCTGCGAAATGGTGATTTACATCTCCAGTTAGACTCAAAGAAGATATACCACAATTTAAAAATAGTTTCTAATCTACTGGTTTTTCATAACCAATTCTCATATAACTGCTTATAACTGCCGTATTCCTAAACAATTACTGCACTGAACACTCAACTTTACTAACTTTAGTTCAAACAAGTGCTAAATAAATGTAACGTAAACAAATTAAAAATGGAAACAAACAGCAGTGACAAAATTCATAATCAAAACAATTGCCGACGCTAGCCAAGTGCATCTAATCATTGCATAATTACCACACATGTGCAGCGTTCTCCACTCGATGTCCAAAGCGGCTTCGATGGCGCATGCGCGCGCGTACTTTTCAAAGGCAATGCACTTGCATTGCTCCGCCACGATCTTGCTGACATTGTTCAGCGTGGCGAGACAATCGCACATCTCCTCCTCACACACGCGGATGAACACCTCCGGAGACACGTAGTTGTGACAGTCTGAGAACGGCGCGCCCCTATACGACACAGCGAGAAGACGGAACATGATTTCCACCGAAAAAAAACATGCTGCCTAGACAGGACCTTTTTAGAAAGACCTTCCCAATCTCAGCGCATATAAATCCTAAGCCACAAGAGCGCGTACGAGTTCGCTTTGTGAATACCGGTAAATGTCGCAACGTAATATCGTACACTCGATGACATGGAGGGTGGGTGAGTGAACATGTTTGTTTACGTATCCTATTCATTTCCTACCTGAGCGCATCGCAAGTACTCCTGGTGATAGCATTGATTACATCGGTACACTTAGGCTGCGGGATGCAACCGATCTGGCTTCCCCAACTGTCGCCGAATTGTTTGACTGACAACGATCGTGTGCCGTCTGGTTTCATGAAGTCATCTCGCTTCTCGTCATTGTAAAAACCGCAGAGCCCTGCAACCTTGCCTATCAATTGTCTCTTGTCCAAGATCTGTGCATAGAAAAAATAATACAACGCTTGGTAAACAGCCATGACTAATGGACATCAAAAGAGCTATGTGTATTCAAAAAGAGAGAAGAGAGAAAATTAAGAAAGAGAGAGAGAGAGAGAGAGAGAGAGAGCGCGAGCGAGAGAGAGAGAGCGAGAGAGAGGTGTGTGTATATATATATATGTGTGTGTACGTGCGCGCGCGCGTGCGTGCGTGCGTGCGTGCGTGCGTGTGTGTGTGTGTATATATGTGTGTGTACGTGCGTGTGTGTGCATGAGAGAGATAAGGGAGAGAGAAAGGCAGAGAAAGATATCTGTGGGGCTTAATTTAGTTTTTATAGATTCGCAAGCCATTCAAATAAACATTCAAAGCCACAACGTCAAACTTCGCGAGGAAATCTCGCTCACGTTTCATTACGGAGTGCACGCCACCTATCTCCCGACACTTCCCAACAAGGCCGACAAAACATAGTCATTGACACGTGGCGTATATAGAGAGAGTCGCTGACCTTTATTGTGGCCTCCATCGACGCATCCCACTGTACTGAGAAGCCGTACGTCAGCGAGCGCACGATGATCTGATTGCCGACGTGTTTGATCACGACGTGAGGGATTCTGAGTAGCTGCAGCTCGTCGGGCGTGTAGTAGAGTTCATTAACGAGCACGCTGAGGTCCGGTCGCACCAGTATGACAGTGCTGTCGATCTCCACCGTCAGCTGACTAACACAGTCGCTGCGCGAGTTGCTGTCTTGCGGGCAGAGCAGGCGCACTGATGGTGTACGATTTGTCAAATTAGTCCAGACATGAACTATAATACTAATAATATTCTTAGTACTAATGGGTATAAATATTGTTATGATATACGTCTAAACGTCTTATAAATATATAACTAAGTATATTATTTACTTCACTAATTGCGCACAAACTAATTACGTAACTAATTGCGCACAAACTAATTACGTAACTAATTGCGCACAAACTAATTACGTAACTAATTGCGCACAAACTAATTACGTAACTAATTGCGCGGAAGCACGTACTCAACTATAATTTCTTCGTAGAGCATAAAATTTATCCACAGTTATTTTAATGATACGAATAATCTTGCGTTTGTATGAATCAAAATAAGGACGGAATTGTCAATATTCATCATCCCTTGTGCGAAGCCATACTGCCTTGCTGCTGCTAAAAAGCAGCAGTCTAATGTTGGACGGCTGATGTTGTTATCTCAACAGCCTTGCTTATTCTGAGGAGGTGTCTGCTATTATCAAAGTAACCTCTATGATCATGTCGAGCTTAACATTCTGCTGTTGTCATGTGAGAGGATACGGTACGAAGATACCCGCGACTACATATTGGCAATAAGGAGACATGACTCGCTAGTACCTGAGACAGAAAAGGCCGTATTGTCGAGCTGCTCCATCAGAATATGATCACAGATCTCATACGAGTAGTTCACCCCATCAAATGTCTTGAAGTTGTTGCGGATGACTGTGCAGGTCGGTGGTAAGGGCTGCGGTCCAACGGTGGTAGTTGGTGCGCTAGTCGTGGGCGGTGAAGGAGAAGTCGTGGATTCCACTGCGCGAAAGGGAAATAAAAATAAGCTTACAACATATCTTTACATTAACTCAAAGGTATATGATCTCATAGCTAAGGGTAAGTAGGAATCGCTTTAGGTGGGAATGACTGCTTCAAACGCGCAAGTCAACATTTGGTAAATGGGATATCAATAGTCAAATTTATCTTTAATTTCTTTTTAATTTTTACATTTCTAACACCATGGTCTAATTTGTTACGAAATCCCTCCATCGTAAAGTAGGCTATAGAATTACGTCACTATGTAATAATACCTAACATTTCACGAAGGTCAGAATTTACTCATACTTCATCTTCTCAAGATACTAACCGGGACAGTCGATCTCATCCTCGTTTTGATCGCAGTCCTGAGTACCATCACACCAATATTCTGGTCTGATGCACTTGCCATTTGCAGGACACTCAATTAAGTTTGGAGGACAGACACAGCTGCACTCGCAATCTTCGCTGAAGTATTCCACCTGGTCCTATATAGACAAAGACGAACTTAGCTTAAGAGGAATCGAATACAGAAACACACGATGAACCAGTAAATGAGGAAACTTTTGGCAGAGGGGACACTAGACAGGTCCATGAGAAGAGGGAATTCATGAATCCATGACAGTAAATGTTGGAGATGGGAAAGTGTAATAGGTGGTGGTTATTATCGACAGGAGTAAAACGTATAATGTGGAAATGAAATGTGGAATGGTGTTCCAAGAGCAGATCAGGACAAAGAATTGTGTGGAAAAGTTAGAATCATTACTTTATTACTTAAATCTCGATGCCTTATGACAGAAATTAGTTTGTAACTCGAGGAACAGATTTTATTCTGCGTTTCTACTCACTCGCACACAGACGGGACATTCCGTCGGCACGCAGCTGGCTCTTCCTCTAAAGCAGGAGCAGCTTTCACAGTTAGTATTTACTATAATGTCTCCCGCCTGCAAGCAAAAATAAGACGTTAACCGATGACAATGTCTTGGGTCAGAGGCTTTGGCAACTCTAGTCTATATTAAAGTTTATTATAAATATTTATTATATATCTTATTATGAGGTTTACTATAATTTAAGTTTATTATTATTATATTATATTATTATATATTTAATATATTATATTATTAATTTATTATTTAATAATATATTTATCGGAACTCTAGTTTGTTTGCTAGTGACCATATTATTTCTAGTATTATTTCAAACTCAAGTAATATATCTCTATGCAATCATAACCTATAGCAAAATGTAGCTAAATCTCTCCCTCCCCCTCTCTCTTTCTATATATACACATGACGTGTAAATACGTTAGATACACGTAGATCCAACTTTCAAGCAAGGCACTGCTTCACTTTTTAAAACCTGTCCATATACCAGAGCCTATCGCACGCTTGTCAACTTCCTAAAAGAACGCAATATGGTGAGATGAACCTGAATTATATTTTCTCTGTCATCTATAAAGGTGGACTAGCATAATACCTTAAAGCGCTTTCCTTCCACGACACAGGCGCAGTCAATCGGATCAATGCAGGAGCGACCATCGCAAACATAACCCGGTGGACAGTTACGGGGACAGCTTGAATCATCAGTCACGAATGGACACAGCTGCGGTCCTGTGTTGAATAATGTTTTCATGCTCGTTATAACCTCTCTTTAATATCTGCTAAGTTCAAATTCTTCGTCTTACATCTTCAATAGGTAGGTTCATTACAAAAAAACAAGCATCTGCGCTATTGTTGCCGTCGTCATTGTCATTGTTGAGGTTGAGGTTGCCGTTGATCGGTGTTGTTTGTGTAACCGCCACAACATCGGTAAAACATCGTAAAAAATCAACTCTCTGCGAAGACAATGCGTACGAATTGCCATGTAAGTGACTATCAATTAATAAAGAACGTCGATGTTGATGTCCTCATTAATTCGAAGCCAGTAAACATTCAACCTGCTAGATTATGAATTAGTTTAATTTCGACAACCACAGAGAAAATAATATGGGTGTAATAGGAGTGTAATAGGGGTGTATATGGGTGTAATAGCTGTGATTTGGAGTGAAATCTGTAATATCATGTGTGCGAAGTATTCATACAAGAGCATATTACACTTACCACAAATGGGGCAGCGAATTGAAACCTCGTAGTCAGAACAATATTTGCCTGGAATCTGGTCATTGTCGTTACACACTAAACCTATTTCCAAGTCACAGGTTACCACCTGTAAGTAAATACACATAACAATCCCGATTACGAACGATTTTCTTGTAAACTATATCTGACTGTGGAAGGAGCAAAGATGGTGTTTATGGTGTGTTTTTCATATTAGACGAGAATTAATCTCTGCTAAATTAGACCAGAAAAAACATATATAAAGGGATTATGTTATGCAATCTGTGTGGTTACATACAATTACACCTGAGGTGTACTGGTTTCTCAGTATACGTCTCAGTTGTACGTCGCGTGCTCTAATCTCTCAACTATAGTTAATATCAACTTGTTGAGCGCTCAACCTTTACGTTTACACTGCCGACTTTCGGTCGATTAGTTTAAAAAGTTGATCAACTCGTCAACTTTTCAACAGAAAGTTGATAGTGTGAACCCAGCTTTAGTAGTACGTCGCGTGTTCTTACCTCCCCGGTCTCGTCGTAAAACAGCTTGGTAACGCTGTCGCGACACAGAATGCCGATCGGAAACTCGCAGAAACCTGCGGCGCTAGCGACGTCAAAGACCAGCTCATAGTCACCAGTCGTCGCTGCCGACGGATGCTGGAGATTCACATAGGGCGTCTCAAACTCGCAGCCAGCTGCGTGCATAGAGACAGTGTGCCGACATTACGATCGAGCATAACTGAAGCTAGATTAATCAATTATACCTTAGCGTATTTCATCATCCATTCCGAGTTTTATTAGCGCGAAAGTAGAATTCAATAACTCAGCTCAATATTAAAGAAGATCGATTGCGTAATTATACTTTATACCTATCGGTGTAAACTAAAGCAAGCGTCCGATGTAAGTTTCTGCAGCTGGCGATTATAACAGATACTATACGATTTAGTATAGTATTGGGATGTATGTGAGTGTTGGTTGCATGGTTGAGGAAAGTTGTTATGTATACTAATAATATTCTGTATTTACAGAACAATTGTAACAACATTTAACACACACACGCGCGCGCACGCACGCACGCACGCAGGCAGGAAGGCACGCACGCACGCACGCACGCACGCACGCACGCACACACGCACGCACACACGCACGCACGCACACACACACACAGACGCACATGTGTCTTTTTCATATAAATTTGTTTTTGAGTTTTTGAGAGCAGATCCGTGTTTCAGAGCAGACAAAAACGAATAATCGGTGACATTACTGAAAACGAGGCTCGTAAATATATCTCTCACGTACATTTAGTTGGAACCTGTTGCGGCGTAGACTCTGTCACTGGTGTCGTGACTGTTGTAGCAATAGCTGAAATTATCGTAAAAAATCACAACTCAGAACTCGATCAAGATTTGACATAATGCACGTACAGTTTAAAACCCAAGACCAGATGTTTTCAGTTTTTTTCACTGATTTTGTCAATATGCGACGTCTAGCTATGCGTACTACTGTGAAGTAGCAAGACTGGAACAGCACTCAAATTAGTAAAAATGGCATCGGGCGTAATTAAGTCATCCTCAATTCCGAGTTTTATTAGAGCGACAGTAAAATTCAATAACTCAGCTCGATATTAAAGGAGATCGATTGCGCGCTTATAATATATCAGCTTATTGTTGATGCAGCCAGAGAGAAGAGTAGGTTGCGCGTGCATTGGCACTCAATCCGAGAGATTGGGTTTCGTTCTGTTAGTACATTATAATATTTGCACATATTCTGCCACATGCTTAGTAGGCCCAAAGTAATGAAGCACACCTTCATAACAGCCGATAACGTAGGCTCTGATGGCTATGTGATTATTCCAAGTTGCTGGTCTAATCATGAGGTACTTGGCAATGAGAAATTCTCCACGGCTAGACATTAGCGTGTGTGTTACCGGAATATCTGGATGTTTCGTATCGGCTTCAAACAGCTGCGCATAAAACACATATCCACTCTGTAGCAAGCACGTCTGAGCCAAGTAAAACTAAGGACAGAGACTTTATAGAATCTCGTATCATAGGATCATGAAACAAAGCCACTCAACGATCAACATACTTTTATATGTAGAGATAAAAGTGCAATAATACGATGTCGAAAACTCAGCAATAATCAGTGGTTCGGTACCAGGAAAATTCAATTTCAACAATGAAGTTGGAACGATTGCAATCGATTCATATATTCTGGTAAAAATATTCGTTTGCACTGAATGTCGATGGAAAATCTCTCCTGTTCCCGTGAACCTTCATAACCATGAATACAGTAGTTATTCCTTATTCGATTGCCGTCACTAGAATAGGCGAACGCCCGCAATAATTGGATAAAAGTTTACCTTTGGTCTGCCATTCTCCATGTATTCTTCCCAATTAGACCCGTCAGTACTATGCATGAGATAGAAGGAGGTGACTTGACCTCCAGAGAAGGCAATGGATTCGTACGGACGTCCCTGAGTGATAAGAGAGCGTATGCTGTCTTCTGCCTCTAGCTCAATAATCAAGTATCTGCGGAATATACATGAAATATCTAGGTGAACGAGTGTACAAATAATTATGAGGTACGAACAGCAGTACCACGTGAATGAGGTAGATGTCATATTGTTCTCATATTGTTTGTGATCTCACTATACTTGTTAGATGGTTCAATTTAGCTCGATTCACGGTTCAATATGCGTGTATTAATTTAAAGAAAAAACCTTGCTTCTGATTTAGATTCACTATCGTGTTTGAATCAATCAGCTGTTGATTAAAAGGACAAATACGCTTGATGACACTATTACACTTTTATCCTTCTATACATTAATTACGTACTGCCTGGTGTCATCGATTTCTGCAATCCATTGCACACCCTCTCCGTTATCTGAATGGGTGAAACCGATCTCTTCTTGACTAGACGTAGATGTCGTCTTTGTGTCCAGAGTTATCAGTGTATCATTGCACTTGATCTGCGCTGTAAACAAATTCCACTGTGTGTCACTTATGGTTTACGACATGACTGGTGTGGACGCATACGCACAAGCACATGCGCACGTCGCACACACACACACACACACACACACACACACACACACACACACACGCGCGCACTGGAAGGTACATAGTACGCTGTTCGCATGGTGGGACAAATACCATTTGAACAATATTTGCTTGCAGACAACTAGCATATCAATAGGTGCATTACATTGCAGCAATAAACAACGCGGTTTGGCAAAATCGGTAGTGACTGATGATAAATTATTATTTAAATTCATAGCCACTTGGTGTTTCGATCGAGCGTGTGGCAATTATTGGTATAAATGTGCTTACGTTCTACTGTAACGTTGTGGCATTGTTTGCGCGTGTAACATTCTAATGTGTTATTCCAGCAACGACACTCTTCGCAGACGCCGTCAAACCAAACCTTGCCAGGCTGAAAGACACCCACAATCCGTAATGTTTATTTCAATAACTAAAATAGTGTCGCCATATCGCTACCGAGGCAATGTGTTTGCAAATTCGGTAATTTATTGATAAAGTATCCGTTTATGGAAAATAATTCAATAAAATTTCAGTTTGATGAATATAATGTAGTCAGACAATCGTCACAAATCACGGTATGACTAGGCTGCTCTAAAGTCATTCTTCTCAATGACACAGACGGTATGTGTTATATATACGTACCGCTGCCACCGATCCGTCCAACATTCTGCAAGTGCACTCTTTACTTGCTACACACGTTTGCTCATCTCGCCACACGTTAGGGGGCTGACAGTCTGGCACACAACCTGGTACGCATCTGTGGGATTCGACAGGCTTCATGAGTGTATGCCGGGCACACAATAAAAGACAACGTGATCAAACAGCAAGAAAGTATCAGTGAAACTACTTGCGCAGATAAAGTTCGAGCATTATACTAAATCAAATGAATGCCGACACGACGTACTCCGTGCTTCCGTATTGCCTGCACTCCTCGCTCGTTTGGTAGAAGTAGTGACAACGTTGATTGCACCTGTATGGGCATTCATCGTAGACAAGGCCAGGCGGACACACTAGAAAATACACCGATTAGTCCTTTAATTAAAGAGCATATTACACAAGCTCGACTGAAATAGACGAAGGGCAGATTGAAGAACAATCAAATCATATGAACATTAATTGCGCGTGGACATTTAACGACATTTAATTTGCACGACGAATCTTGTGCCGGTGATAACTGTTTTCAGTTTTTAATAGCGAAAAATTACGGAACGAAAGGCACGTTACGCGGCGGTTCAATGGATTTCATCAGTGAAGGTTCACATACAAACATGTATTTATAATATGCCGATACTTCATATTATTGTAAATGGATTTCCACAAAGTGTAAAATCTACACTGCATGTAATGAGTAAAAAGTATCTGTAAAAGCACAAGAGACACAGCAAACAGAAATAGCAGGTAGCTTAAATGCGTATTGTAGGCCTACACTATTATATAATTAATATATAATTATATAATTATATATATTTATATTTATTATATTAATTATTAAATTATATGTAATTAATATAATTATTATATTATTATACAATCATATATGGTATAATTGGCTAGATAGACTATTTTTTCATTGTTTGCAAGAAAACAATTGATGTAATCTCACCAGCTGCAGTCGTGGTCCGTGGTCTCGCCGTTCTTCTGGTGGTGACAGTGCTGGTTGGAGTGCGTGTGGTGAATATAGTACTTGCCACTTTGTAGAGCAATAAAATACTGTATTATTAGGTTAAAGGGATACATGACCCTAGGTTGCTTGCATATTTTCAGTTAGAATAGGTTTAAATTACGCTACATAAAAAAATTACACTGTTCAATATTCATTAGAAATTCAATATGACAATGGAGCAAAGGAATGTTAAAACGTTTCACTTGTACGTCTACAGTATAGTGTGAAAAATTTGTTTAAAACGATAGCGCGTTTAGTAATGATAATACCTGCATTGCCGTTGGTGGTACTTACCAAGAGGTTGACAACCGAGTAATTCGAACCTCAAGCTGATCTCATTGAACCAGTCTACAGGGTGGATACGAAGGACACGGATGGGAATGTCTCTAGTGAACATGTTGGTAACAGGCGTGTGCTGGTCCGTGTTAGCTGTGAACACCTGAAGAGCAAAGTGCACTGTGTGGAACTGCATCGGCAATAGGGTTTGATGAATGGCTGCAGGATTTGTATAAATTCCATGCTTGTAGATGTGATGAAGTGCATGGTGCATCGCATTGTTTTAAATTAAATTTAATATGCTGAATTAACGTAGAATTAAGAGCGTGTTACTCTAGATGACTTACTTTTGGGTTTTGGTCGGGAGAGTCACTGTAGTATGTGAATGGTTCTCGTCCATCAACGCTATAGGATACCCTGTAGTTGGTGACCCAGTAGGGAAGCTCATTGTGTCCCTGTGTTACAACTCCTGAGATCTCCGTTGGTTCGCGAAGGCGAACCTCAATGTACTGTTTCAAATCTTGTTTCCTCCAATTTCAAAAAGAAAATGCTTTTAATATTATAGTAATATTAAGAATCACAGCAACAAAATCAGAAGTGTTACAACGTATGAGCATCTAAGAAAATGATTAGACATCGGTCATAAACAAAGTTTATTACCTTGGCACCCAACCAGAAAGCGAGTTCAATCTTCCTTCATATGCTGGGTTCAGGGCTTCCTCTGTTGTGGCTATGATCTGGTTGTCTTTCACAACAGCATTATCATCTATGTTCATAGGCTGTTCGCACACTAATGGCCTCTGAAAAAATAACAACACCTTTAATATCTGACATATATACAGTGACACTTGGGCAAATGTGAACGAATATATTAGACTGGATATTTTACCGTCTACTCGTAGAGTGATGGATCTCCTATAGAGATGTGAAGGATGTAAACAAACCTCAGTTGTTGCAGTAGTTGTCCGTGGTCTAAATGTCCTTCTAGTGGTTACAGTCTCAACAGGGCGGCTTGTGGTGTAGACGGTGCTCACCTCTTTGTAATACAATAATGTATCATTATGATCATTATGTTAACATGGCATTATCGGGGCATTATCCTATGCAACTTAAAAGTATTTTATTGTAATATATGCACGTACACATATAGCAGCGTTTGTGAACCACCTAAACACTACAAGTTATAACACAATAGAGCGTTTTATTATTGGTCCCATACATGTAATGACGAATGTACTCACCAAGAGGATAACAGCCAAGTAGTTCAAACCTCATGCCGATACCATCATTCCATGTGACAGGATGGATACGAACAACACGGATGGGAATGTCCCGGGTGAACAAGTTAGTAACT